TAACCCTAATGAGCCATACTATATAATGGATCCCATGGTTCATGAAATGGCACTAGTGGATACACATAGTGAGGGCAAGGGCCGATTTCGTAGGGAGAACCAAAGTAACCTTCTTCTCAAGTTATTCCATTTGTTGGTGGTGCTTTTGTGATTCCATTTGAGGCTTCCACACTATTGGGGCTAAGCTCTTAAAGGTTCAAGACTTCAAGCTCTGTCAAAAGGTATGTCATCTAACTAGACTTTTGTAGTATAGTTGCTCCATAATATGCTAGTTAGGATGATGCTTTGGAATTTTGTATATTTTCATGTATAATAGTGAAAACATAGATCCAAGGCACACAGGGTTGCATGAACACCATAGGAGTGTTAGAATGCTCACAACCCATCATACACATCTTCGTGGCCCCTAGGTGGATCGAAAATTTTGACTTATGAGCCTTCTCCAGAAGTGTCTATCTAACCCACCAACAATTGGGACCCAAACCCTGCCACACTGAGTCAATAACCCCCCCGACTATCCTTGATAAATAAAGGAATCTGACATCTGATCCGCTCTGTCTAACAAAAAAAACCAAGTTAGTGCATGTTTGACACGTGTCCTGAGGTTGGAAGAGGTGCGTCCGACGCGTGTTTGCAAGAGAAAATCATGTCTGAATCCAAGTCATTTATTATTATTATTATTATTTTTGCTTTTTTAATTTTTACAAATTATTCTATGCTATTAGAAAACTGACATGTGGCATTAGAGACTAAGAAACACGTGGCCCAAGCCTTCAACAAACATGAGGCGTGTGCATGATTTGTTGTTTTACAATTATAACCCTCCATTTTTTGACATTTGATGGAAGTTCAACTCCTATTGTAAAAAATAGGATTGAGAAAAGGGTACACAAAAACCTTAGTAGATTATATGTAATGTGATTCATGATTTTTTTTAATATCATGGATGTTGTTCCTTTGTTCTTTGTTATACTATTAATAAAGGAATTGCAGTGTGACACATTGAGAATTTCAAGCCGATTGTCATTTCATAGTATGCTTATGGAAATTTTTTTTACAGGGGACTCCTATTTTATTTTGAATGTTGGTTCTCTAATCTTAATAAAGTTACACATTTTTTTTCCTTATAATTTTTTCTGTATGGGCAGGAGGTACAATTCATTTGTATGTATAATAGGTGATGGTTAGTTTACAATAGGTAGAAATTATAACAATGTGCTTTGAAAGTACATTACTATAATTTGTAAAAATTGATTTGTTTAAAAAAAGAAGACAATAAAATTTGTGAAGGAGATAAAATGATAATTGACTTGTTTAAAATATTTAATTGGATTTATTGATTTAATTTATTGCTAAATTAAAGGGATTCTACCGGTTCTTGTATAATGTTTTCAAAATATACTCAATCATAGCATTTTAGTTGCAAAGTGCAATGCTTTAATAAGAAAAAAAAATGAAAATTTCATATTTTCGTTTCAAAACTTTTACAACTCTGAAGTATAAACACATACAAGTACACAATGTTTTTTAAAATATACCCAATTATAACATTGTACTTTCAAAGTACAATGTTATAATAAGGAAAAAAAATGAAAACTCCATACTTTCGTTTCAAAACTTTTACAACAACTTTGAAATATAAACACATACATTAATATATGTTTTGAAAATATACCCAATTATAACATTGTACTTTCAAAGTACAATACTATAATGAGAAAAAACTAAAAATTCATACTTTCGTTTTAAAACTTATACAACAACTACGAAGTATAAACACATACAGATAACATCCTCAAAATCTTAAACACTGTTAACTTACTAAACCGTATGTTAATGTATTTTTAAAATAAAATAATAAGAGAATCCAAAATAAATCGTATATTTATGTATTTGTATACTGTGAATGAGGAAAGAATGACAAATAAATAACTTACTTGATGTGATTAACAATTGTGTAAAGCAGAAGTGTATTCCCAGACTTGATCGGATACACTATAAAGGAATAGAAAAACCAGAAGTATGTTGCTTTTTCTTATAAGATGTCAGATATTAAAAAACATAAAAAACTAGAATAATTAAAAATATATGGTGATATATAAAAAGTAGAAAAAGGAAGTACATTACTATTATGTTACAATAATAGGCCCTTGCACACAACTACATACATACACATACAGACAACATCACGCACACGATCTATTGACGGGTTGCTGTAAAAAACGTTTAAATGGACAAATAATTAAGAAAATAATAGTAAAGTAAAATTTTTAAAATAATGACCATTAATTTTTGTTTCCTTACTATGCATTCAACTAATTCATCGATTATTAAGTTTCTTTCCCTTTATTATAAGTATAACAAAAAAAAGTTAATGATTGAAGAATTGAGATACAAACATAGAACCAATCATAGACGGAAATATTGAAACCATACCGACGTTTTGTAAACGCTTTCAAGAATATGAAACAACAATGTTAAAGAAAGAACTTAAGAAGTGAATAATTGAACAACATAATGAACAAAAATAAAAGATAATAAAATCATACCCAAAGAGGAGATAAAAAAGCTTATATGAGGAATGGGGTGTTTATGCAACTCCAAAAAGGCTTCAACTTGACTATATGTAATATCGAAATATGCAAATTGAATAATATAACATGTATGTAATCGACATTTAATTCCTGATTTATTGAAATTTACTGTAATTTAAAATAAAAAATCATTGAAAGAGAGAAACTGATAATTCCTTATTTATTGGGGATTTAACGCAATTTAAAAAATCCAAATTAGAATTTTTGATTTAGAGAAACTGATAATTGTTATTGTTATTCTTAGTATTATATGGCTATTCTTATTCTTATCAGGATCTTATAATTGTTATTCTTATTTCTTATACATGCTAAGAATAAGGGTTGATTTATAGAGGGTTAGTACATTTAAGATTATGTACTATACATTTCCAGATAATATACCAAAAATTTTAAATTTTAAATGTTGTAAAATTCAAAGTTTCTCAAATAAAATGGAAGTTATTATAAGCTTGAATGTACTAGCAATGTTAGAACTTCATTAAAACTTTGAGCGGGAAAACAAGTTTGAGGGAGCAATTGCCATGTGGAACGTTTGCACTCTTTTAATAGGATAGGAGATATCTGTGGAGCAGTTAAACCACTATGACCATAAATCATCACTTCTTTTCCACACCACTACTTGCCTAAAAACGCCACCGCCATCGACAACCCTCCATTTTCTTCCTGTCTTTGTCGCCGACGACCTTCTAGCATCTGACTAACACAAAAATACCATTACCAGTTTACCACCCTGAAACCTCCGCAGACTAGAAGTTTCATCAGAGAAGTTCTAAGGGGTTGTTTTTTTTTTTTTTTTTTTTTTTTTTGTGAAGATCTGCGCAACCACTTTTGTCTGCATCGCGCAGACAACATGCAAACATATGCCCTCGCAAAGTGTTTGTTTTTTGGAAGTGCGCAGATCAAAAAACGTCTGTGCGAGGTCTTCCTAGCGCAGACATGGGCCACTGTCTTCAAAGGTCTTCACGCCTCATTTTAACCTTAACAAAAAAAAACGTCGCCTATATTTTTTTCCTTTTTCCGTCGCCTATCTTTTTAGCTGAAAATGTTTTTTTTTTTTTTTTTTTTTTTTTTTTTTTTTTTTTTATGACATAAAATTAAGTTTGAAAAATCAGTTTATTTCAGTACCTGCTGCAGACGTTAAAAAACAAACAAATTTTTTATTGCATACTGCAGACATTTGGTCCACCTCTTCTGCCGCAGAGGCTTGCAGATATGGTCTGCAGATTGCAAACATTTTGGCTTTAGAAAAACAAACTGCACCTAAATCACCAGGAAAACATCGTCACCACATGTCTTCAATTTATAACACAGTGACGCTTCTCTCTTCAATCTGTAGTTGTTAACGAGTACAAAAATTAATTTTGTTACATATTGTTTGGAGTATTGATCATATTCAGATATGGTGATTGGATAGAAGGAAAGGTAAACAATATTTATCACTGTCTAGAAAAGATCGAACCAGAATGCACTACAAGAAAAATCCTAAATAGCTACGGAAAGTTGCTACGGAATCAAAATCCGTAGTTATTCTACTACGAAATATGCTACGGAATGGCTTGTCGTAGCTATTGTGCTACGGAAATAGCTACGAAATTGCATTTCGTAGCTAAATCCTGAATAGCTCGGAAAGTTATTATGGAATCAAAATTTGTAGCAATTCTACTACGGAATATGATACGTAATGGCTACCCATGGTTATTTTGCTACGGAAATAACTACGCAGTTTCATTTTCGTAGCTAAATCATGAATCGCTACCGAAAGTTGCTACGAAATCAAAATATGTAGCTATTTTACTACCGAATACGCTACGAGTTTGGTGGTTATAGCTAGTTCGCTACACAACTTGTTACATAACCATATTCACAACTAGTTGGCTACAAAATTAGTTACAAAATCAAAATCGGTAGCTAATTGGCTACGTAATTAAAATTTGTAGCCACTTTGCTACAAAATAAAATTTTGTAGCTAATCTGCTACGAAACTCTTTACAAAAAGGTTAATTGTAATTATTTATGTATACAACTTGTTTTTGAATTTGAAAAATAGCTACAGAATCAAAATTCGTAGATATGTGGCTACGGAATATTCCGTAGTTAACTAGCTACGAAATATGTTTCCGTAGTAAAATATGAAAATAATTTACATTACCAAGTAAATTATTGTTTTCAATTGTGTTAGTATTTCAATTATAATTCATTTTTTATTGGTAATAATTTTTAAATATTGTTATAAATTTTAATTTATTCTTATTATGTATATCTTACTTTCAATTTATATAAATATAAAAAATATATATATATTTTATTATAATAAGTAATAATATGTAACTGTATCACATAAAATTACCAGATAACTACATTCTGTTTCCCTTTTTAACTTTTCTAAAAGAAATTGTTTCCCCCAAATCATATCATCACGTTGGCCCTAAGACTTCGCAGTCTCCGCAGCTCACATGGCTAAACAACGCAATTCTCCGGCAACACAACCACCACTACGACGGAGACGGTAGCAGCGACAAATTTCTCCACTTACAAACCACCAATTCTGACTCATCCACATCCAACAACCACTGGTTATCTCCTCGGCCTACGACAATAATCGAGAATCGATGTTTGTTTCTGTGATTAATAGTGAGAATAATCTCGATGAAAATGTATGAAATTGAGTAAACTACAGAGCGAGAGAGACGAAAACGGAATCGATAACATAAATGGAGCTAATCACAAGAGAGATTGGAAATTCTCCAGGTGTAAGGAGGATATTCTCGTGCTTGAGAAATGTTATGTCGGTGGATCATTTAGCGAGGATCGATGCGCAGTTGGCTCAATCTCAACAGGTGAAAGGTTATCTTGAAGATAACGACCTCAATAATATCATAGTAACAAATTTCACTCTTTTAAACATCTCTATGTAACTCTATCTCTTTGTTGTTATCGTTCCAGATTTAGAGGCTCCACAAATCCGGTGCTAAGGGGATTTCTATATTTGTGCATAGTTCTCTCTCGGTATTTTCTTCATATATACTTGTATATACGCTAGATGTTGGTTGTCCAATCCCAATGTGTGAGTGGGTACAGTTGACACAATTCTGGCCCCATAAGTTCATTGTTTTCAATACAATGGTTATCTCAAAGTAGATTGAACAAAAATCTACTTATGGAGGCTCAATCTCCCAATGTTCATACTAGGGATGCTACTTCCCTTGTTTTATTGATTGAACTAACCTTACCTGTAGCACCTTGTTTAACTTAATTGTCTTTTAGTTGAACATATAACGATGCAATGTTGATGTATGTGTTAGTTTTTAAGAAAACTCATTGGAGATATGGTTGGAGCATGGAAGAAGGAAGACCTAAATCCTTGATAATAAAGCACTTGCACATTAAAACCTACTAATAATTCCTTGTAATACTCATAGGCCAACCCATTGTATTCTTATGTTCTTCCCATAATCTAAAGCCTAGGAAGGCATAACACCTCATTGTCTTCCTGTAATTATATGGTTTCTACTGTGACCAATTAGATGATGATGCCACAAGGCCCACCACTAAAACTTGTCTTTTGTAATTTCATTAACACAAGTATAAATACTATTACAAATGTCAAATTGGAATGTATTACTCTTCATGCTATCACATTAAACACATTCTTAACACACTCATTATCTCCATTCTTCATGAATATGGTACTATAATCAACATTGTGTTTGTATGATCATTTTGTAAACAACAGGAGGAAAAAGCACTAAATTCTTAATAGACCTTATTAGTAGATTGAAACATATTAATGCATCCCAGATGCATTGGTAAAGGGTTAATCAGCCTCTTGACTTCTAGAGAAGAAATTCCCGAATTACTCAAGGTTCTTTGTTTTATTAATCTTAATGTTCAAAATTTTATTCTTTTATTTTAAATAACCAATAAAATGGGAATTTAAAATTCTCATGCAGCTTGATGATGCCATCGATCTTGTAATTCCAAGAGGCAGCAATGAACTGGTTTCTCAAATAAAGTCTGCAACACTAATACTTGTTCTTGGTCATACCAATAAGATTTTGTCTTTTTAACTTTCTAGATGGAATATGTCATGTCTATGTTGACAAATCTGCTGACATGGAAATAGCAAAAAAACATAGTTTTGGATGCAAAAACAGATTACCCCAGCAGCCTGTAATGCAATGGTATTTATCTTCCTTAACGTATCATGTGCAAAAAACATATTTTTTGTTGCTTTATTTATTTATTTATTTATTTTAATATGCATTTTGTTACCAGGAAACTCTTCTTGTTCATGCAGAGTTGCTGCAGAATGGTGGTGTTAATGAGCTTCTCATTGAACTTCAAACTAAAAGCATGAATTTTGCTCTTTTTAAGTTCAAATTGCAGGAAATAGCATTGTACTTTAGTCTCACTACTAAATGGGCAAAAACCTTTATCTTTTACCTACGATACACAAAAGAAGTTAAGGTTGATGAAGATCCATCTGAGGCCAAAAAGATAGGACTGATGACAATGTTGAGGTAAGAACATACTTTTTTTATTTTAATTTTTATAAAATCGAGTTCATGTTGCATAAGATGGAGATCCAAGTTTTAAATAATTTCTTTTTTTTGTAACAGAAAAAGAAGAAAATCAAGAAAAAAAATGGGAGTGGGATCTCACCAACTAGACAACCCATATGGGTAATTTTTAAATCTTTGAATTTAAAGTTTATGTATTTAAAATAATATTCAAGTTTTGTGGATACGTGCATTTTTTGCAGCTTAGGAGACCTAAAGAAGTTACAACATAGGAATATAATGAATTCTACAAGAAGATGTTTAATGAGTACTTAGAATCTTTAGCATCTTCACAATTCACAATAGAGGTGAAAAATGCAATCTCTTTTTTGTTTATTTTTATATAAGCATCACTATTTTATATTATATGTAAATAATATTTGACAAATTACAGGAAGAGGTTGAGTTCAAATTCATTATGTATATGCCAGCAATCACTCCTATGGGGAATGAAAGACATCGTCGATCCAAAAAATCTTTGAATATAACACTCTATGTCATACGTGTCTTCATTTCATATGACTTTGATGGAAAGTTGGTAAGATTAATAGCAATGTACTTTTGTGGGATAAAAATGATTTTTTTTTTTTTACATTTAACCGTTTTTCTTTTTCTTTTTATATTTTGCTTAGTTTCCACGATACCTAAGTTTTGTGACAGGTGTTGCCGACTCCAATTATCTTCCTTTGAATGTATCACGTGAAATCCTCCAAGAAAGCCATGTTGTAAGTGCATTTACATTTTGGTTTATTTGTTAAACATGTCGAGTATAATTACAAAAATGGTCCTTGTATTTATGACATTTACAGTTTTCGGTCCAAAATAAAAATACTTTCAGTTTTGGTCATCATTAACATACAACATATTGAATTTTAATCAAGTTGATTGTAAATTTGATTTTGCAGGTTTTGTCATTTTGATTGAGCATATGTGGCTGTCTGTGTGTTCATGGTGGTTCAAATCTAAGTTGTGCGACTATATTTATTATTAATATTCAGTATTGATGATTAGACAACCTTATAGAAGAATTTCGATCATGTAATATATCTAAAAAATTGATGTAACCATTAAATTTATATTTACTATATTTTTATGAATATTTTAATTAGAATATTGGATTTTGTTGAATATTTTTATCATACTAAATTTGCACCTAAACGTATTGTTATGGAAAAAATTGATATGAAACTAATGGCTACGGAATTTGCTACGGAATAAATAGCTACAGAATTTGTTACGGACCAAATGACTACGAAATTTGCTACGGAACGAATGGCTACGGAATTTGCCACGGAACGAATGACTACGGAATTTGTTACGGAACGAATTGCTACGGAATTTGCTACGGAACAATTAGCTACGGAATTTGCTATGGACCAAATGACTACGGAATTTGCTACGGAACAAAATAGATACGGAATTTGCTACAGAATTGTGATGGAAGTGTGTTGTAGTTAAAATGCTACGGATAGGCGTCGTAGCAACGGTCATAGCAAAATTGCTACAGAACTATAATTTCGTAGTTAAACATTTTGCTACAAGAAATCTTACTATGGAATCTCATTGGCAAATTCCGTAGCAACTTCCGTAGTTATTTAGGTTTAGCTACGGAATTACATCTTTTTGCTACGGAATCTTTCCGTAGTTAAATCGAAATTTTCTTGTAGTGAAGGGATCTGAGAACTCAAATAGGAGATGTTTGAAAAATTAAACCTGGTATGCTTAATTGATGTATGTGGAAACCATTATCATTTACAAAGAGTGCCTGTTACATATAATTTTCCAATTCTCGTCTTTGATTTGGTTGCTTTGTGTTCATTGTGTTTGATGATGCTTCTTTTTGCAGTGAAAAGTGCCCGCTTTTGAAATAGAACTCCTTAGTGAATATTGGTTTTTAACGAAGCAAGCTAGGAAGCTTTAGATGAAACATGATTTTTCTGTGTTTATGTGGTAGTCATTTTATGTCACTAGAGCGTTTAGTGAGGGAGTAGCGACTCATCGGAGGTGAATGACTGGGTAAGTTACGGAGCTTCTAGCCGGGGGGGGGGGTACCCACATGTTTGTTAAGCAATTTTATTAATAAATAATACCCGGTAAACATTAATTTAATTAAAAACGAAATATACATGGGCAATATAATAATTTTATATCTGATAGGGCCAAATACAAAAAAAAAACATATAATAAAAATGATCCAAATTTAATAAAAAAAATTAAAAGCCAAACACACAAGTGACCTTTGATGTACTGTTAAAGATTATGTTTTTTTTGTACATACTCACCACACACGATCCATGACACATTTAACCCTTGAAGTGACACGGTCAATCCTCATGCAGTGGAAAACTCTTGTTGCCGATGACACGATTGTGCCATTAATTGTATTAGAAATTATGACAATGCTGCAATTGACTAAATAGATAGGAAGCCATAGTGGTATACTAGACTGAGTGCTTATCAAAGAGAAAGTTAAATTTTGACATCACTATTTTCATCAATAATAATCTGATTTTGAGTTTTAAAAATACATAAAGTTATTTTTATTGTTGATAAAACCCATATGAAAAAAAAATCCGCTTTTATCTATTCTACTGAATTCGAACAAGAAAAATCCGTTTTTCTCTATTTTAGTGAATTCGAACATGAGAACTTAAACAAAAAAGAAAGGAGCTTTAGGAAAGTAGTGAAAGTATATAGTGGAAGACATGTCGGTAGCATCTTTCACAACCTAACGTCGATGTTGATATCTAAATGACTAATATTGGTTTATGAAATTTTATAAATAATACGGTGTATTAATTTAAAACGTCTATACAATCTCTTCAAAGTAGATGACTTACGAAGAAAAGTATTATATATACTAACTTACACAAATTTTCCTTGTGGTTTAAGATAATCTCTGTATTTACTCATTAACCTTTTCTTTTAGAGGAAACTGCAAATTTGGTCTATGTGGTTTGTAAAAAATATATAGATAGAGTCCAAATCTTTCTGACTTACATCATTGGTCCAAAATCAAAATTTTTTATGGTCATGGTCCCTGAAAAAATTGAAAGGACTATATTACCCTTTTAATTTTTTTCTGTATTTTTTATATTTATTTTGTAATAAACTTTTAATTTAGAAATAAAAAATCGGTTCAACTACCTCTCTCTCTCTCTCTCTCTCTCTCTCTCTCTCTCTCTCTCTCTCTCTCTCTCTCTCTCTCTCTCTAAGCATATCCAAACACTACAAACCGACAACTTTTTTAGATGAAACACATACCAACTTTCCAATCTAAAACAAAAAACCAAATGCCTAAGTGCATCAAACATAAGATTCAATAAATCTGTAACGGTTTTGAGATCAAACAAATACATGATTTGTTTTGAGATCAAACACATACACCGCCATTCTATGCAAATGAAACAACCAAATAACTAAATGCATGAGGTACTTGAGAAAATTTCGTACACACACCTCAATATTGAATCTAGGACTTTGACTGGAAAATTTCAAAAAGATCAATGGAAGGAATACAAGACCTTATACTTACCCACCCCACCCCCACCTAATATCTCTCATATCTTTTTCTTCATTCCACCGTACAAGATCCTCCGGCACCAGCACCATCAGCACACAAGTTAACACTTATTCGTACCGGTCAAGAGCAAATTTTAACACTGAATTGGGTTACATGGGATCTGACCCAGTAAAATATAAAAGAATGAACGAAATTACAATCATCAAAGTCTAGTAATTACGAATCATGAAAGTGGGTATTACGATTTGCTCTACCTTATAGTGACTTTTGGGAGCTGGTTGTTGGTGTCATCAGGAAAAGCATCTGGTGACTTCAGATTTCTTGAGTTCATGAAAGATTGTTGTTGTTAATGATAATGTTTCCAAAACTCAGCAAGGAATACTTTTGTTTACACTTTGATTTTTGGAAACCTTGAAACTCAATTTCCAAATCGCCATCATCTTCATTCACTATGAAGAAAACCCATAAAGTGGAAACCCAAATTTTAGGGGGTGAAGGGAGGTAATAGACAGAAGATGTTTGAGGAGGGAGAAGATCGACATAGTATTTACTGTAACATCCTGACTTCCAGGTACGAGGATTTTTTCTTTTAAGTATGCTTTTCCTTTGGAACACGGCGTGGTGGAAGCCTCACCACGGCGTGTTGAAGGGCTTTGGCCCACGTATTTTTATGGACCAACACGGCGTGTTGATGAAGGACAACTCGACGTGTTGGCGGCTGGATGAGAAACCCTAAATTTTAGGGTTTTGCACCATATATAATCCCCTTAAGTCCCTAGGGCTGACCTTTTATCAACCTCCAAAACCCCCATATCGGCCCTTGTGAACCCTAATCATCCTTCCCACTCATTTGTGAGCTAGTGTAGTATTTTGGAGCAAAAGAAAAAGAAAGTTGGAGGAAGGAAGCAAGGATCTACCAAGCAAAGCCCTCATCTTCAGTTTGGCACTCTTCTGGACATTTGTAAGTGTCCAAGATCCGATTTTTATTCCTCTATGTAGCTAGATCTTGAGTTTTGTCCCTTTTTCTCCTTATTCTTGGATGTTGTTATGGATGGATCTCATAAAGTTTGCAACTTTATGAATCTCCAGGTCAAGGTGACCTTGTAGTGGTTTGGATCTGGTCTTTAGCCAAGTTTTGATGCCATTCATGGAGTTTAGGTCATATTTCCCTTTTTTTGACCCATTTTGGGTTCAAGATATGCATTAGACATGCATGTCTATAAAGCACCAGCCTTTGGGTTGATTTTGATGCTAGAATATCTTCTGGAAAGGTTGGGTTTCAGATCTCAAGGATTTTGTGCTTATTGGTTAAGCCCTTGAATCTTCAAGCTTTGTGGATGAGTTTTTGAACACTAGGAGTAGCCACAAAAGGATAAATTTGGAAACTTTATCCTTTTTTATAGCATTTAAGTTCAAATCTGATTCTTGGAGTCTCTGGAATCGTAGGAACAACTGAATATATTAAGCTCGGGCAAACACGACCTGTTTGCGAGCCAACTCGACGAGTTGGCTGGGATTTTCCCAACCATCTGATTGCTATAGAAACACAGCGAGTTTATTAGTGCACTCAGCGTTTTGGGTCAACATGGACTGTTGATCTTGACCGTTGACTTTGACTTTGACCATAGTTGACCAAGTTTGACTTTTAAGGGTATTTTCGGTATATTTGGGTTTTGATGGAATTTGGTCACATGGTGGTTGTAGGCATTTGAGTCCGGAGCTGAGATTTGGAGTCAGACCTTATCAGTTTTGCACTACTTAAGAGGTGAGTTGTAACACCGTAAATTTTCAGACAAAATTTTCATTTTTTTAAAACACATAATTCTCAATATCACATTCCAAAAACCACAAGTGTCAAATTGTCAAAAACAAATTCCATAAATTGTTTGATAAAATCCACGATCCACAAAACATAAACTCCATCTCATGTGTGTGTAGAATCAAGCCGTCGCCTTCCCGCGATCTTGAGAAGTACTTGAAACACATATCACATAACACGGTAAGCACGAAGTTTAGTGAGTTCCCCAAAATACCACACATAACTAAGTAGCCTCTCATAGCTATATCTCAAATACGACCCTCCGGTAAATGTGTCTCAGTGGAACCCTCCGGTCCCACAACTCGGGTGGACCCTCCGGCCCTAACTCAGTATAGCTCAGAATAATACACATCATAAATCACAAAGACATAATGCAGGATATCACAATACTCAAAATAAGCATACAAGACCCTCCGGTCACACATAGTTACCACTCAAGGTAAGTATAGTGAGAAGACTCACCTCGTAAGCAAGCAAATGAATCTAGTACACGAAACACCGATCTAGCCTCCGCCTAACACATACGATAATTATCTCTAATTAACACTTAAATCACAACTCTAAATAAACCAAGCTATTTTCTCTCTTTAATTTCTTGGAATGGATAAAAGACCATTTTACCCTTCCATGGTCTCCCTATTCTCTGTCTTGGCTAACCCTAAAGTCAAAAAAGTCAACACTCGAGTCAACAGTCCATGTTGACCCGACTCGTCGAGTGCACCTATGTGACTCGCCGAGTCC